TGAATGTATTTTTTTTAGAAAACAAATATTTATTGGGCTGCATGATAACACTTTTTTTGGAGATTCTTGGTTTGAATATAAACTGGAAGTTTAGAGAATGGGATTTGCATATACTGTATGTGAAAATGTGGAGTCTCTCAGACTTCCTGTGTGTTTATGTCAAACAGGTTATATTTAAGAAACGTGTTGATTTTACAGTTCTGTCAGTAATTTGGTCTGGGTGAGGCTAGTGAAAATAAACCAAACACAATTAAGTTGAACAGAGTAAATAATGGGCTAAGAAGGGCAGCTCTCATCTTTTCACATATGGACAGGCTGGCTGGGGAGTTCTGCTCATTTCTAAGCAAAAATAATCTTATTGAGAATACTCCATTTTGCATGTCCTGTATTCAGGTTAGCATTGCCTGATACCAAAACTTATTGGAAAACACATAGGGAACAAGACAAACAGAAGAAAAATAAAAATATATTTTGCTCCACTTAACAGTCATTCAACTTAAATTTTGCAAATATTAATGTCAGAATTTTGTTAACAGCTGAATGTAATTATAGCTACCGCAAAAAATCTATTTAAAATGCACTATACTGTATATCATCGTTTTCAATTAGCATTTAAAAGAACATTTTAAACTACTGGTTATAAAGGCTGTTTATACAAAAATACATTGGAGTTCTCACTACAAAAATCTAATTACATGTCCACACGTACAGTTTCCTTTCAATGTTAGATGTATTATGAATCCCGTATTATGAAACTGGCAAAAACTTGTAGCTATGTATCAATATGGTCCGTAAATATCACCACGATCAACTCTTGGAAACAAATCACTGACATGTGACTCTGTTGGATAAACAGAGGCTTTAAAAATGTTTAAAACAGTGCATTTTTTAATTATTATTATCTTTATTTCAACCTACAAATTGGAACAGAAGAAGGGGTATTGGGTATGGGGTATTGCAGTCTAACAAAAGAAGCCAAACGACCCCCATTCCAAATGGGGGGACCCCTTTGTCTGTTCCAATTTGCATGTTTAAAAAACAAAAACAAGGCTTTGTTGGGCTACTGTATAAAACCTGGAATTTAACACTATTCCTGACATTTTGAATTGAAAAAGCTATCTGTAAGGGAAGTGAAACATCTTCAAACTTGAAAACCAAGTCGAGTGGATTTGTTTTTGTTTTTTTGGAATGACTATGACCTGGATGACTGAGAACCTACGCCAGCATTTCTACTGAGAACTAATGTATTCCATTCTGTTTCTTTCTTTTCTTTCTTTCAGTTACATTTATATCAATTTGAAAGTTATAAAAAAAATGTTTGAATATGATTTTTATTCATGATTCTTAAGTAAAAAGAAAAGATGATATAATCTGCTTCACGGCCACCAACTGTGAAAAACATCTTTAGGAAAGCATAATCAGATGTTTGTCAAAAACAATTCATTATTGCAATAGGCTTTTTTTTCATTTGTTTTTTATATGGATGTACAGTATAAGAAAAGGTTGAAGAAAATTGTAATATTCAAAATAACTTCCTGTGTTTGCAAAAAAGTTTTTAACTCTTGCTTTAGGTGTTTTTTTTGTTGTTGTGGCTTTTCCAGCCCAAAAAAAAAAAGAAAAAGAAAAAAAGAGTTGTTGTCCTAGATGGGAGCATAATGTGTCAATGATGCCCAGTGTTTTCGTATTGCCCTTCCTGCATGCAATAGAATTGCATTTCTTTCCCCAATTCTTCCAAACAAGATGTAACATCCCCAACACTAGCTCAAATGATGGTGATTACAACTTGCCTGAAAGCAACACATGTTGTTATTCTAATTTATACAATTTTAAAATGTTTTCTCAAATTTTGCACAATATTGGGATAGGAACATATACTACATTTTAATGCACTTTTACCTAATGTTCACAATGTTCTTTAATATACGTGAAAGATATTCCTGTAACAAAAAAAAAAAAATAAAAAATCATATTCAAACAAACTTTCTGAGGTTCAGATTTTTGTAATTAGTTTTCATGTACCCCCCAAAAATGTTACAGAAAGTTACAAAATTTGTTAAAGGGTTTGTTAAAGTTTGTTAAATGTAATTTGCATAGAATGCAAAACCTAGTTTACCTTGTCATAGATGAATAATGATAGTTCACTGGGTGAAATGGACCTACAGAGAAGTTTAAACCCCATCGACACCTCCTTTCTCTGCAAATCTCACAATTCTAAACTTCTACCATAAAACGGGTGAATCCAAACGAAGCACCGAGTTGACGTCAATTCTCGGATGTTGCCTTATTTAGTTCTGGCCTGTACTTTTGAATGCCCCAAAATTGACATACAGACCAGCACACTGGTTCATTGGCCCAACAACATGATAGAGGTAGATTTAAGACACCAGTTTAGCTGTTTAGCCTACAGTTGGGTTTACTTCTACAAGAATTACAACGCAGGCAGTTTCTCTATTGAAAATGAGCCAGAACCACGGGGGTAAATGCAGTGTTCCAGGCTGCACTGAGAAAGAGGAAAATTTTCACAGTCTTCTCAAGGATCCGAAGACACGACAGACATGGATTATTTTTGTCTATCAGAAGATCCCTCAAAGTTTGATGGTTTTGAGGTGGACCACGTCCCCCCGCCTGCCCGGTAAGGCAGGGAAGCATTCAATCATTTCAACAAGCATGGGGCCGCAGTTGTCTGGGTCGGGTTCAATCACTCCGTCCCCGGCTGGCTCCATGTTTCAACTACGTGATGCACTGCATCAAAATCCAGGACAATTTTGAAATTGCCCCCAGACATTTTTTTTTTGGTATGAAAAGTAGGACATGTCTGGGAAAAAGAGAACGTCTGGTCACCCTACCATATCAACAATTTGTTGTTTCAATGAGTGGGTGCTTGTTGCTATGATGCGTCTTTGCTCAGCAGCTTCACTTGTTGTAAACCAACCAATCAGCTCATTTGAATATTCATGAGCATACCATAAAAGGAAGAAAACCTGTCGTTTCATTCTAGGACTCTTAACCAGGCTTGCATTAGGGCCCTATTCAGAGACCTTAAGGCCCAACACCAAGTATTCTATATAATCATTCTATGACCCCTTTAAAGTTATGGGAACATTCATGAAACAAAATCTTTCATTAAAAGCCAGTTTACAATAACTCCTGACTCAAACTCACAGTGGGACATTGCATATGCTTCTAATATGAAAAGAGGACTGAAAAATGATGCTGATATCTTATGGTTCCTAAAGAGAACTCAAAACTGGCCAAGATGTTTATTAGTAAGTATACACTTTACAAAAAACAGCGATTGGGAGTCAGACACAACATTTAAAGGATTACAACAAAAGTGAACCATGAGCATATTTAATTCTCCACGGTTGCATTGGGGTCACCTATTTTCAATTTTCACACTTTCAGACGTATATCTGTGGTGAGCTACGGTTTCAGACAATCACTGAAGCTCTCCTTTCTCACCGTGGTTCTTTGAAAATGGCAGACGGTCATAGAAGTGTGTCTACAAAGTGTATGAGAAAACAAATGCCTCAGAAGGGGCAGATATATCCCAGAATGCTTTGCCTGGAGAGCTCTCCTTCCAAAGCATTATGAGATTCGCTGTCACAGTGGCTTGATATTGGCGACTAATAACAAAGATGGCACAGGCAACGTGCGGTGGAGAAGGAGTTACGTGACCGACGGAGGAAAAGGTAGTGATCATCTGTCGTAACGGTAAGTTACCCAAGTTTGCTATAAAGTCCACTATATAGTCCCCGCTCCATATAGTGATTGAGGGTTTTAGGGTTTAGGGTGGACGTTCTGACACAGTAAGCTTGTATAAGCTATGAGAACAGAAACTTTTACACCACCCACATTTTTTTTTTTAAACTGGAGAGGGCGAGTCTTATAAAATTTGTTAAATTTCTCCACAATACTTTTAAGGGGAGATGGTGACCGCTGAGGACCAAAAAATTATCTTCAATATCTCTAAAACTAAAATAGCACAAATTATAGTTTTAACTACACAAGCCTGCACTAACAAAGCACTAACTAATTGTTTTTTTGTACAGATTTTGCACCGCTCAGCTAGCTGAGCTTTTTTCAAAGGGGTGAGGTTTCAGCTCCACACAGCTTAGCTGCCCTTTGGGTCACTGAATTGGGCATGTGGGGTATTCAATATGCAGATATGGTGAAGAATACACTAGTCTGGTGTTATATAAGCTTGAAATGAATGAAACTAGGCAACCCCAATGCATGGAACATAGTATACACTCGTGGTTCACTTTTGTGGTAATCCTGATGCCTTATAAATCCTACAAAAAGTGGAGTTTTAGAGAACTTGACAGGAAATCAGTGAAAATCTAATAAAAGAAGTTCTTATAAGGAACATTCTTAAAGGCTTCAAAACAGAAGGTCTATGGAAGCAAGTAAAAATTTGGGAATTGGGATTGTATTGACTTTTGCCCAGTAATTTATTTATGGAACTGCAAAGGAAACCTGTATTTTCATATCCCTAAACAGTCATAGAAGTCAGGGTCATGCCTGTCCTTAGTGACATTACCTACCAACCTGAGAACTGTGGGTCACTAATTATACTTCCTAGAACCTGAGAACTGCTATACTTCCTGTATAATAGCTAATAATAGGATGTTCAGCAAAAGTAGCAAATCAAGGCTTTTACCAATTGTCTGCTTTGTTTTTTAGAGTAATCAGCATCGGTAATGATTCTCCCCATCCGGTCTAACTTGGTAAAAATGTGTGCGAACAAGCGCGCACACAGGGAAAATGCTGGCACATATGTAGACAAAGACGCACACACTCACACAGTCACATCGTTAACACTGACAAAGGCAGGTCTGTTTGGAGCCCAGTGGACAGAGACATTGTGGCCGTCACCAGAGAGACTTAGTACAACACATTCAGCATTGTCTCTCACACACTCCACAGTATCAACAGACTGTAGTTAGGGTTTTAAAGCCTGAGCACAGCGATATAAAAGAAGTACATTTGCTGCTTACCCCTGAACTTCTTCGGGGGATTGTTGAGGTCTCCTGCATCAGGCTGGACAACGCAACGGTCATCTACCAAGCTGTAAAAATAATACAAAAAGATGATGATCTACTTTCTCTAGGCAACTTCAGGTGTACATAGAAAGAACTGCAGCCCGCTTAAAGTTATCCCCAAAGAACAAGCAGCAGGAAATTCTTAAGAGTTTAAATCTTTGAATATAGAGATATGTATGTACTTCAGAGGAATTACAGAGGTATAAGAAGGTAAGGGTGGGTGATTTAGACATAACCGTTTTAATCACAACATTTTGTTGTAATAGGCCAGGTGAGTTTTTTTTATATAACACCTTTTATTTACAAGATGATTCAAAGTTATATTGATTGTAACATAAAAAAGATGATAATAAAAAAGAGACTGCATTGGGCTAATGGTCGTAAAAATAATTAATGAACACAAATAACCGAAAATAAAAATGAATAGTTTAAATGATAAAATGATGATGAAGAAATATGATAAATAATTGATGAGATAAGCAACTAAGGGTTTTAATACTTTTACAGTTTTCTGGGAGGTTGTTCCAGAATAGTTGAGCATGAGAACAAAAAGTTGGTTCTCCATGTTTGGTTCTGGGTATTACAAGTAGGGTTGATTCAACAACAAGTCTTTAATGTATTTTGTGGTAGGTGATTTATTGATTTATAGACTGGGGTATTTTGAAATCTACTGTATTCCCATAGATTCAGGGAGCCAGTGTAACAACTGAAGAACTTGGTTAATGTGCTTCACTTTCTCAGTTTTAGTGAGGACATGATCAGTAGCAGCTGCAGCTTTCTGAGAGGCTCTTTAGGCAGACGTGTGAAAACACCACTGATGTAAGAAAGTCTTCTTAAGCTTAATGCATAAATTCATTTTTCCAGCTCCTGCTCAGACTGGAGCTCTTTATCCTTAATGCTTGGTTAAATCACAAAGCTCACAACTAATATATAAGGCTTTAGATGAACAGCTACCAGTGAGCATACAAAAATATTTGTTGAGAAAGAGGCAAGATATAATTAATGTTAATGTTTAGCTCTTACGTAAACCAACAGAATGAAAACAATGTGCACTTCAGTTAATGCTGTGAATGTATGGAACAAATTCAGTGTTGACTTAAAGCAATATCCAAAAATGAGGCTGTTTAAAAAAAAAAGGCTCAAACTGGTTCTCTTAAAAAGATATGAGATGGAGGAAGGTTGGTGACCATCAATGGGTACCCTTACTATCTGTAAATGGGTGTATACACATTTAGCAAAAGTTGTGGTCGTTTGGACTATGAGTATTAACTGGATAAATGAAGATCAGGGTAGGGACAAGTAAACGTGTATCGGTTTTATATGTAACTTATTTATCTGCATACTTAACAGACCGTTGCAATAGTATGCAATAGTAGGTTAGGATTTAGGAATATTTCTGGTTTTATAGAATATAGGAAGGACAAGAGGTATGATAAAATACGTTCTCTTTTTCAATCCCTTTTCAAACATATGCACTAAATCATGTAAATAACAATTAAATAGGTCTAAGTTTTTGTGGTTTTTGAAGTAAATTTTGTCAAGATCAGCCCTAGTTGGAGACAACTTTGTTACTGGACCTGTTGGGGACTGGACCTCTAATCATTTCAACAAAACTAGACATTTTGTTGCAGGCCCTGACAGAGAGGAGTTCAGATGCCACAGTCACAGGAGGGTTTGTTAGCCTATTGAGCGTAGCAGATAAGACACAAGCATTGTCAATATTTTTGATGATTATCTCAGAGAAGAAACACTCTTAGAATAAATGTCAATTTTAATTAGGCCTCTTTAAGACACCAGATACAATAAATCCTCATATACTGTAGGCTGTTTTATCAAACACACAAACTATTCTCTAAGTGCATCTTAGATGTTTTACACATGAAGATTTAGTACCTTGAGGTCCAAATACAACAAACACATGACTGAATGCTCCTTTTCTGTGTGCTCATGGCTTGCTTTCCACGTATCTGTAACCTCTCTCCTACTTGCGTGTGGACCTGTTTCTGCTCACTCATATCAAATTAAGTAACTTTAAGGGTAGTGCCCTCAGGAGAAACTAAACCATTTTGATTGGCTGCACTGTATTCTTCCTGGCTTTGTCTAGTATCAGCAGCAAAGCAATCTAGGCCAATTCTAAACATCTAAGGCAATGACAGAACACAAAACAATAAGAGTTTTGAGAGAGAGGTTTTACAGCAGCAGCTCATAACAGAAATACTTGGATATTAATTATAGCAATAATAGTAACAACTGAAAATACTCTTTTTAACAAAAGTGCAGTCACCTAAATGAAAGCTTTAAAACAAAGAGCCGAAAGTGAGGCACTACATTTTAATTGGTACATTTCTGACATTTTTAGCTACAGTGTGAGGATCAGCATGTGACTCCTCTGGAGGAATTGAAGGCTGCAGAAATGATCTTAGCACTCAAGTGGAGCCAACATTGATGGTCTCTGTGAATAAAGGAGGGTTTTGGACCATTGCCCATGTTGTTTTTCTCTACAGTTTCCTAAAATGGTTGCTGCCTACATTCCAGAAAGTACAAATTCAACAAACACAGCGAGTAACTGATATCATCAGCAGCTGTGAAAAAATAAAACAATCCAATGGTATATCTCTTAAAACTTCATCATTCTTCCAATATGTTCATACAGTATCTCTGCCAATAACACCAAATTCAGGGGCAGTCAGCTCCAACTTTATTTGGATCTTTAGGAACTTCAACAAACTTCCTCTCAATCATAGACCTAACCAAATCCTGTGATCCTGTGTGTAAATATTGTCCACAAGTACCAACTGGTTACAGGTAAATTAAGAAGATAAGCTTGACTAAGGTTTATCATGTTTAAGCCTAACCACTATCATCATAGGTAAGTTGCCTCATGAAATATGAAAAATTCTGACCTCAGACCAAACCAAGAAACTACAACTTAATCTTATGTTGAAACATTACATCCCCAGTGTTTGGAGCCTAAATTTAGCTTTAGCTGAAACAAGTAACATCCTTTGTAATAACCAAAAAGGTAAAATGGATTGCCCTCTTTAAAAACATATTTTACTGTTGAGGCTTCTTAAGAGGAAATCCTTAAAGGGGTCATAGAATGATTCTATAGGGTATTTGGTGCTGGTCCTTAAGGGCTCTGAATAGGGTGCGTAACATTGGTTGGGCTGAAAATGGCATTGCTGTTCTATCAGCCCTAATGCAAGCCTGGTTAAAAGCCCCAGAATGAAACGACAGGTTTTCTTCCTTTTATGGTATGCTCATGAATATTTAGATGAGCTGTGCGCTGATCTGTTGGTTCACAACGAGCAAAGCTCCTGAGCAAAGACGCACAATGGCAACAAGCACTCAATCACTGAAACATCAAATTGTTGATATGGTAGGGTGACCAGACGTCCTCTTTTTCCCGGACATGTCCTACTTTTCATAACAAAAAAAATGTCTGGGGGGAATATCAAATTCGTCCAGGATTTTGGTGGAGTACAGTGCAGCACATAGTCAAAACAGGGAGCCAGCGGAGGACGGAGCAATTGAACCCGACCTGGTGACGGTAGCCTGGACAACTGCGGCCCCGTGTCCAGTATGCTTCTGTCACCGGGTTGGGTTCAGTCGCTCCGTTCAACGCTGGGGCCTAACAGTTTAGCGACTAAATATTACTTACAGCTTGCGGTTGTGATGGCCTTACGGTCAGACCAGGCCCTTCGGTAAAAAAAAGTTTAGCAAATCCTACTTTGAACTGTCCAAGATTTTGAAAGCCGCCTTCGGTGAAATGCTTAGAGCAAATGAAAAGCTGAGTATCAAACTTTGCATTGATCTTCTGACAGGCAAAAATAATCTATGTCTGTCGTGTCTTCGGATCCTTGGGAAGACTGTGAAAAATTTCCCCTTTCTCCGTGCAGCCTGGAACACTGCATATCGCCCGTGGTTCTGGCTCATTTTCAATAGAGACACTGCCTGCTTTGCAATTCTTATAGAAGTAAACCTAACTGTAGGCTAAACGGCTAAACTGGTGTCTTACATCTACCTCTATTCATGTTCTCTTGGGCCAGTGAACCAGTGGGCTGGTCTGTATTTCAATTTCGGGGCATGACAAAAGTACAGGCCACAACCAAATTCGGCAACATCCCTGAATTGACGTCAACTCGGTGCTTTGTTTGGATTCGCCCGTTTTATGGTGGAAGTTTAGAATTGTGAGATTTGCATAGAAATAAGGTGTCAATGGGGTTTGAACTTCTCTGTACGTCCATTTCACCCACTGAACTATCATTATTCATCTATGACAAGGTAAGCTGGGTTTTGCATTCTATGGCCCCTTTAATTGTGCCTCCTTTAGAATCAAACACTGAGCAATTTACAAGAGTTTGTGCATCTTAACATCATGTTCAAAATTACATCTACAGTGATGCAAAATAGATAAAAACACATGGATGTTGGGTAAGGTGATTCTTTTTAAAATAAAAAGCCAGTGATTAGGGCATTATATTGCATTTGACTAATAATATGGAAAGAATGAGGATATTAGTTAGTAGTGATTAACCCATATTTTCCTGCTCTTCCGATTTCTTTTTCATCACCTAATTGTCCACTCCTGTCTCTCTGAAATTTAGCATCTCTGCATATAAGGTGTGGATAGAACAGTGAAAAATGCAATCGACTGTCAAAATAAACTGGAGCTTTACACAACATATATGTAATGCACTGGTTTCAATGAAAACAAATAACACCAAAAATCAATACAACCGAAATAAAACCCACACACAACCCAAACTGACTTTGATCTTCCAAAGTATTTATTCTTTTCTGCTATTACAGCTGTGAGTTGATACTCCTCCTGAGGCTGTCATGTTACCCTCTGTGGTATTTATCTGTATGAGACCATGAATCTGGCAAGCACCTGACGCATGATTGAACTCCCCCCTACATGGCTACATAAGGAATATTTCTGACCCCTTGTTAAATGAATGGATGTATGAATGAATCCATTACTTAAGTTAATTACTTTGTTAATTACTTTGTTTACACTTTT